CAAATCCCTTTCCCCCTACATTTTTTCTATATAACTCATTCACTCCTTTATTTTCCATTACGTACCAACACTTTCTCATACATTCTCATACATACTTGAACTTTCCCATATACAATAATTGGTGAGGAATATTGGTGTATGATGGAGAATGTTAAGGTATAGCGGAGAATATTAAGGTATAGCGGAGAATGTTGGTGAATGTTAACGTAAGTCGAGGAATTCAACTACGACTTTTTCCTATAAATAGGAAGCACCCCTCCCCCTTTTTCAAAACAACAAGACACACACACCCAACATAAGTCGCTTACGACTACTTCACACAACACAACTCACACACAATACACACTCTCTCTAATTTCTCTCTCTAAAACGTTGTCTCTCTCCTCTCAATCTCCCAAAACATGTTAAATCTCTAAACACTCAATACACCCTCAATTTGGCGGACTAAGCCATGGAATCGTGGATAGTCTCCACCGGGCGGTACTAAATAGGTGACGACGCTCAACTATGACTGTGGGATCGAACCAGGTCTAACGTCATCGTATTTATTTTGTTCCATTCAGGTTACTAATTTGAGCGTCGGATGAGGTTCCAACCAGGACCCCCCCCCCCCCCCGGTTGGGACCTTTTTTCCAGGTATTCGCACGGAACTGGAGGTGGTTAAAGGCTTTGAGAAATCAGCGCTCTCCGGACCTTAAACATATTGAAGCAGACTGCTCTAAGCTTGGTATCAACAGTTTCGATCTTGCGCGAAATACTTGATTTTTGTGTCATGGTTATGCGCCTATGCCTGACATGTTGTCACAGTGGATAATGTTTAGACCATTTTCACTTTGCTGCAAATAAGAAATTAATCTTTTTAGCCATACCGCTTCGCATGTTGCATCTGTAGCTGCAATATATTCTGCTTTCGCTGAAGATAAAGGCAAGTATTCTGCTTCTTTGAACTTCAGGAAATGGGTTTTTGAACCCAGACATAATATATACCCCGATGTGCTTTTTCAATCATCTAGTGATCCTGCCTAGTCACTATCGGTAAATCCAGTCAATTTTTTTTTTTTTTTTTTGCTTCTTTCTTGTAGTTAGGCCCAATCTCTTTGAAATCCATTTTGCTAAAAATATTGATCAATTATGTAGTTCCAAACTCTCGGTGCTTACTTCAACCCGTACAAAGCCTTTCAGAAATGATAGACTTTGTATTCTTATTCTTTCGTCTCATGGCCTCGTGGACCGTGGTTGTTCCACAAAGACTTCTTCTTCCAGTTATCCATTTTAAAATGCTATTTTGACATCAAACTGGAATACTGGTAACTCCGATTGAGCACCTAGAGCAAGAACTATTCTGATGGTCTCCATCCTTGCTATTGGTGCATAAGTCTCGTAAAAATCAATACCAAGCTGTTGTGAATTGTCATTTGCCACCATTCGAGCTTTGTACTTCTTGATAGAACCATCTTCATTGAATTTGATCTTATAGATCCATTTGAGACCTATAAGGCTATAACCGGCTTGTCCTACAATAGATCAACAAGCTCTCATGTCTTGTTTTTCTCGATCATGGAGATTTATGCATCTATTGCCTCGTTCCAAACTTCATCTTTGGTTGCTTCTTCAAAGACTTGAGGTTCACAAGAAAAATATGCAACATGACTTGTTTCATTAATTTCTTGTAAAGACCTTGTTTTTAACGGAGGTGAATCTGATTTTGTTACGACGTCTCTGAAGTTGTCTCCTTCTAGGCTAGGTGCATAATTTATTTATGGACTTGCAACTGGATGTGGTTGGTTGCTGGTGTCTTCTGGAGTTGGTAAATCCTTCAGTGTTTCATAAGTTGGTAAGTGATTGTAAAGACGATAGCCTTTGGATTCATCACTGTAGCTAGTGAAGATCAACTTCTCTCCCTTCTGGTCAAATTTATCTCTGTTTGGGGTAGAGATATGTGCATAAGCTATACACCCAAAGACTTTTGGGTGATCTACCTGTGGCCTCCTGTGGTGACATGCATGTACCAGTGTCTTGTTCCGAGATGCTTTGGTTGGTGATCTATTGAGAATGTAAATTGTTGTATTGACCGCTTCTGGCCACAAGTTGTTGGGAAGATTTTTGGCTTTGAGCATACTTCTCGCCATCACAATCGTGCAATTTTTCTGTTCTGCCACGCCATTTTGTTGTGGTGTGTAATTGACAATCAGCTGCCTTTTGATTCCATTATTGCGGCAATACTCCATGAACGGAGTATAAATAAATTCTCCTCCGAGATCTATTTGGAGAGTTTTGATTTGATGGTTGTTTTCCTTCTCAGCTATTGCTTAGAATTGAAGGAACTTGGGGAAAGCTTCTAACTTTTACTCCAGAAAGAATACCCACATCATTCTAGTGAAGTCATCTACAAATAGTAGAAAATATCTTTTACCGCTGAGTGATTGTGTTCTGATTGGACCACATGTATCTGCATGTACCAACTCCAGTGGCGCTTTCGCTCTCCAAGATGTCTTTGGAAATGGTAAGCGATGCATTTTGCCATATTCTGTTGATCTAGGGAACTACAACCACCATATTTTTCTGTCTAAAAAATTTGAGACCTCTGAAGTTGAGATGACTATATCGGAGATGCCATAGGAAAGAGTGATCCAGATTTTCACTCTTGAATGCTACTTCACCATTTTGTGACATAGCAAGAGAAAAAATTATGTTGGAAGTCATCGGGACTTTGGCCACCATGAAATTGTCAGCTTTGTTGATAATCTTGCACATGCCATTATCAAACAATAGCTTGTAATTTTTTAGTTGTCCCACGCTAAGTAGATTAAGAGTTAGCTCCGGAATATACAAAAAGTCTCGTATGAGAGTTTTGCTACCTTCTTCTGGCATACAACAACTGTGCATTTTCCTTCCACTTCTAACTTCTTTCCATCTCCTAACTTGACTTGATAGCGGTATTTGTCATTGATGTCGGTGAAGGACTCCAGATCTCCAGTCATGTGGTTACTGCAACCACTATCTACCATCCAGGAAAGCAGGGACTTTTGCTCGCTATACAAGCATGATAAGGCCACCATATTGCTTTCTTCATTTTTGGTGTTGCTTAACTTGCCTTTTTCTTGCTTATTTGGAATCAACAATCTATTTGGGAGTTGTTTTGAATTTGGCACTTGTTGCACTTGAATCTGCAGTCTTTTGTTACATGACCCACCTTTTTGCAAATTATGCAACTCGAGCAGGTGTAGCCCGCTACTTGATGTTGATAATTTTGTCTCTTATTTTCTCTGTAATTTTATCTTACTCTTCCTTTCCATTGTGAGTTTTCCCCTATCCGACCTTGATCCGATTTGACAGATTTACTTTCCATCATGTTGACTTTTGACTGGAAAGCTTGCTCCAATGGTGGTTTGGTGAAACGACTCATTCTTTGCTCGTGTGCTACAAGTGAGCCCATCAACTTACTCATTTGTAGTTTTGCCAGATCTTTGGTTTCTTCTATGACAACAACAATATGTTCAAACTGTGATGATAGGTTGCGGAGAATTCTCTCCACGACCTTCCTTTCTTCCATGACGTCACCAGTGGCTTTGATCTGGTTGACTGTCACTACAACACGCGAGTGGAAGTCTTTGATGGTGTCAATTTCCTTCATCATCAAGTTGTCGAACTGACGCCATAAACTTTGACGCCTGATGGAGATCGTCTTCTCAAAACCTTGAAATTGTTCTCACAAGATATCTCAATCTACTTTGTCCTTTTTGATGCCATAGATTCTTGGGTAAATGGATTTGCTCAGTGCTTGCTGAATAATTCTCAAGGTGCTAGCATTTTTGCTTGTTACTCTCCTTGTACTCTTTTGTCTGCTTGCCTGGCTGTTTCTTGGAGTATTTATCCTCGTCTTGTGGATCTTCATAGCCTTCTTGAGCGATATCGCAGATATCTTAAGAGATGAAAATCGGCTCCATTTGGGCACTCCAGTACTCGTACAATTCTCCATCAAATTGAGATTAGTTGGTTTGAGAATTACTCTGTGATAACAGGGGATGAAATTGCTGATAAAATTTGCTATTTTATTGAGTAATGAAAGCGGCAGAAGTTTTTGCTAAACGTTATCCTAAAAATTATTGTATATCGTTCTAACAGAAATCAAATTTACTCTCTTACCCTTTTCTCTTTTCTTATATAGTTGGCACCCATAAACACATCATCCATAAAAAACCAAAAAAAAGTATTTGTCCTAAATTAATTGTAATTTTTAAAAAAATAATCATCAAAACATTTGATTGGACCGAGACTAAAATTTCGTTTGAGCCTGGGCCAAATCGAAGCTTTGACTTCGGTTGACCATGGGCCAAACGAAAACAAACCTTCGGTTGGGGCCTGGGCCAAACGAAATCTTTGTTTCTTCCGGCGGTTCATCGTCTTTCTTCTGCATATACAGAGACAAGGGAGGCGGAGCAGGGGTTGGGACTCGGGCGGGCAGAGGGGAGCAAGGCTGGATTTTCACTAGATGGTCGGGATTCGGGAAGGTTGGGCAGGTGATGCTTCCCTCTCTTCCTCCGGTCTTCTTCTCGGGGAACTCGGGCTGGACTGGTGCGGCGGTGATTGGAGGTGGAAGAGACTAGTGTGGCGGTGGTCGGAGAATGGAGGAGAAGAGCTGACTGGCGCGACGAAGAGGAGAAAGGCGGCAAGATGCTTACCGGCCAGAGAGAAGAGGACTGGGGATGGAGGCAGGACTAGGGGTCAGGGGTGGGCATCGGTCGATTCGGTCCAAGACCGGACCAAATTATACTCAGATCGTACTAAAATTTCTTCTAAATCAAGGACCAAAGTCGAATCGTTATTACTTCGATTCGGTCTGGATCAAATCATATATGGCTCGATTCGTTCTAGACCATACCATTGGACCGATTAATCTTTCATCCGAATAAAAAATTACTCTTAAAGGACAACAAGAATTAAAAATGTAACTACATAAAAAGAAAGAAGTAATCAAATTATCCCAATTTAAATACTCCACAATTCTTAAAACCCATATGTTCCAAAATATTATGCAAAAAGTTAAACGAGAACTACTTAACTAAAAGACAAAAGTCTTTTTATTCAATCTCAAATGTAGTCTAATTAATTGCCTCTCTAATCTCCATTTTCATTTACAGAGTGCACGTTGGACCTCGCAATCTCTAGAATTTCCACTATTCATGAGAAAACTTTTCTTCTGCAATATAAGCACATGATATAAGGCATTAGAAAGGAGTTTAACAAAGTGACACTTACTCCAAGAACTAGTGCAATAAAACAAATGATTCTTAACCTTGGTAATTTGCAGTGGTGTTGTCAGACTTGGCAGAAACCCCTGTGGTGTCATTTATTCGCATATTCTCCATATCTGAAACATTAAACAAGAAAAGAGAACACAATATAAAAACCTAGTTCACAGTGTGTAGGTAAAGTAAGCAGCTCTCTTGATCGAAGCAACGCGGATGAGAACTCTGATTTGAGGATATGACTATAGGAGCGGGAGCGGCTAGTCAAAGTCAGGGAAAGTCAATCATATTTATAGGTAATTAAGTGTCGTGTAGGGTACTAGGCCTTTCAACTCCAGGTTGACTTGCCTTCTCAGAGCCTAATAAAATAGGCAATTAATATAAGTATGATTCAGTTCGGTCCTTAGTTTGATTTTACAGTTTCGGTCTGGACCAAACCAAAACCGAAAATGTTCCAAATGCAGAAACCAAAGTCGAATTGAAAGATAAACAGTTTGATCCGATTCGGTGTGAGAATCAATTCAGTCCGATGTGAATCGAATTGTTGTACATAGGCAGGACAGTAAAGGGCTGACTGGTCTGCTGTCAGCGGAGAGAACCAGATGGAGGGAAGGTCTTGTTTGGTTGGGTTTTCAATTCCAAAATTGAAAAGGCTAATTATATAGGTTGGGTATCAAAATTACTACGACAAATAGTAATTTTAAGACAAGATTCAGCATTAAAAAAAATAGGATGTCTAATCATAAAAGAAGCAATAAAATAAATTGAATGCTTTAGTTGTCATACTCATACTGTCATACATACGGAGTGTCCTATAAATTCGAGCGAACATCTTGTACATTACCCCAGACAGACGAGACAATCAAAGATTCGTCGAGAAATGTAGCCGGCCCACGTTGGAACAGAACGAACAAGGAAGTTATCAACCGTCCATGACCATTTGCCAGTATGAAACTATGAATCCAATGGATACGCAGCAAAATTCCAAAATTTGAATCCAATGAATACGCAATACGAGATAGTACCAAGAACATACAACCAACGAGGAAGTTCTTTCCTGCCTCCGACACTTACAAAGGACAACCCCAACCAGCAATGAAAGCAGATCTAGCAGATTGAGTGATTATGAATCTTGATACATTGCAATGATCAAGGGGAAGAACAAAATGAGCCCAAAAAATGGGCTCCCGGGTGTAGTAACTCTGTTTAAGGGAACGAGAACTATCATCCTCCAGATTATAACATGACAAGTAGATTAAGCACAAAAGTACAGAACTACAGAATGAAGGTAAACTCTGCAAAGGTTCTTATAACAACAAAACAAGACCCCGGAAGAAAGAAAAAACTAGAAACAAGTTAAATGAAGTACCAACTTGTACGCAAGTCATCATCAGGGGACCTGTTGCAACTTTGAGGAGGGAGCAGAAGTGTGTTCCTTCATAATGTGGCTTCTCAGAGCTCAAATTCTTCATCCTTCAAGGCCATCTCAGCTGCCTCTTCTTCTTCTTCATCAATCACAAAGTACTCATTCTTCTCCAACGGCCTAAACATGTAGAACATCACTCCATAAAACAGCAAACTTGCTGCTTCCTCTGCAGCACTGCTCACCCATTGATACTTATATGCTGCAATGGTCTTCAGGGCAAACACTACAATTCTTGTGAAGTACAGGTACCCGATAACAAGGATGTAAAACTGCCTAAACAACTGCAATTTCGCTAGATTCCTCGCTGCTTTGCCGTCAGTCTTGGACGTCTCCCTCAACGAACGAATCGACCACACAATTGGGAAGATTATGGCACAGCAGCAGATTATATCCACCAGCAAGAACACCTGATTCCAGGTCACCCAATCCCTAATGAACGGCCCTGTCTCGCCAATCACCACAGAAGCCACATTTGCCAATACTTGCAAAGGGATCACAATCATCAACACCTTCTTCTCCTTCTCTTGCAAAAAGGGCTTCAAGAACGACCACCCAGTGCCAATCAACACTATGACAGTGAAGAGCAACACAACACGAAGAAACTGGAAGAAATAAAACAACACATCCCACCCATGTGGGGTGCCAGTGACCTTCACGTAATGCTTGTCCACCGCGGCACAGATCAAGTTAAGAGCTTTCATCAGAAGCAGTCCAGCCATCAACAGATGGATCCGGTGCACAGATCTCTTGTTCGTAAGGCACAGGTAGATCCAGAAACCCATAAACACGAGGTAAGCAGTGGAGTATACGGTATACAGAGAAGGCAATTGTGTTTGCCCAGCGGAGAGGAAATCCTTGGACCCATCCGAATCGACGTTATAGACATCAGTGCGAACATTCATGGAGACCTTCGTCTCCGGGGCACAGTTGGCGAAGAAGAGAGAGTACTCATTCGGGTGAGGGATGGGGTAGGATTGGTTGAAGGAAGAGAGCGGCGGCGGTGAAAGGTCGCGAAAGCTGAACAGATTGAGGACGTATTTGGATCCGAGGACGCAGAAATTAGGGTTTTGCTGCATCTCGAGCAAGACCTGCAACAGAGACTCCTCGGAGAGGAGGAAGAAGCCCAAACCTGAAGGGTCCGGATTGGGAGCGTTGATTGAGGAAGAGACGGAGACGCCGGATACTGAGATCGTGACGTGGCCGGTGTGAGTGAATCCGAACTTCTCGAAGAGAATCATCGGCCTGGGGTCGTTGGAAATCCTTAGGGTTTTGATCTCGGCGGAGGCGGTGGCGATGAGGGATGCGACGGCGACAGCCGCGGCCAGGGCGAGGAGGGACGGACGAATTGCCGGCGGCTTCGTCATCTTCGCTACGGTGAAAGAGAGGATTGAGCGGGGGGAAAAGGTGGAGTGGAATGGAAGTCTCGTGATGAAAACGGGGAATGGAAACTTCCCTCGGTTGCTCAGAGAGTCAGATGAGAATGAGATCTCGCGCCCGGTGATTTGGTGAGGTGTGGGGATTGAAGCGACGTCGCATCGCGTTGCAATGGCGATCTGCGTACACATTTTTTGTGCCATAGCGTTGACGTACGGTCACCGGCTGTGACGAGGAGGCCGAGGGAAGGCCCAAGTATCCTGGTGGCCCAATCAAAGCCTGGTCCCGGATCCGAAGTTAGCTGGAGGCTTGAGCCCGATCTCTAGAGGAGAAACAAAATGAAGCTCTGCTCCACAGCACAGAGGCCCGGTCCTCCTTTTTTTCCGCTAATAAGTCACTCATTAAGGACTAATTGTGTTCAGTCATATCATACATGCACAAGTCAATAGCATACCACACAAGAGTGAGTTCCTCATAACTTATAATGGTATTAAGCACAAAATCAAGAAATCAGAGATTCGAAAATAGAATTTCATAAGCAAAAATATATCATTTAATCATCGAAAGTAATACCCAAAGTATCATACAATTCACACCCTAAACAATAAGAAAACTTTCGCTAGCCATAAGAGAGAGGGACAATACAACAATCAATTATGAAGGCAACTCCATTGATCATGACTCAATCAATTCTGATTAATGTCTCAATTGAATAAATCGAATCAATCATTCACAAATTGGGTTCATGCAACCATTCCTAACATACAAAACTATGGATTTTCATACCCAGATGAAAAGGAAGTTTACTCCACGGAGAGAAGATAAAAACACCAAGTTTGGAAGAGAAATCATCATGAGAGGAATGAAAATCTGCTCCATACTGGAAATCGACGCTACGAGGGTGAAAGATCAAGCTCCAATGTCCTTAGATCGCTTCAATTTGCTCCCAAGGTTGTTCTTCGTCACTTTCTCTCTCTAGGATTCTTCCTCTCTCTTTAGAACTTGAAAAACCGGAATTACGAACCAACTTCCTCCAGGTGTAGATTAGAAGACCCGACGCCGCGATCCACGGTCAGAATCCACGATCATGGATTTGGGGTTCAGACCATGGATTTCCAAAACGTTGTGTGGTGGTTAGTGGCTCACGAACCATAATCCACCTGAAATCCCCGATCGTGGAATTGAGACACCAGACCAGGGAATGTCCCTGGATAGGAACCACGGTTGAAACGTGGAATCCACAGTTGTGGAATTGAGGCACCAGACCGTGGGTTATGCTGCTTTTGCCTCCGGTTTTCGTCTGCTCTCCAGTTGCATCCAGACTTGCTCCTCAGCCTCCATTTACGTGCAAGGACCTAAAACATCATCAAAAAGCACTAACTAGCATAAAATGGACCAATAAGCAATCAAAGGCTAAACCAAGCTGTCGAGAATTGTTGGAAAAAAACATGTGTGAATATGGTGTTATCACAAATATAGGACCATGAGAACACTATAATTTGTGTTATTAGTGATCCTTCGTGCATGAATATCGATAAATGGTCTAGGGGATGATAAGAATGGCCTCCCAAATAGGATATAGGAGTTTATATCTCTATCCATGTCAAGTACTAGAAAGTCAAGAGAGAATAAAAAGGGTCCAATCTCGAGTGGCACATCCTTGACCATGCCTCTAGGGTATGCAACAAACAATATTGCCAACTTGCTTGTTTTGCATGGCTATTTCCTGTGAGCCTTGTAGCTTAAAATAAATGTCATGGATTAGTAAACTTTTGTAGCACTAGCAGATGCATGTGGGCAAGTATGTTCTCTAATCTAAGCTTTTGAGCATGTGGCTTTTCTTTAAGAATCTTTCCATAGACCGCGTAGGATTAGCAATCTCAACGATGGCCTTTAGACTAGGTGCAATAGCTTCTTGATGTAGCAACAAGTGATAAATCCTAGGAGTTCATCGGGTCGTATTCCACGAGGTCTTTTGATAGTAGCTACTCAAACCTACCCTAATATTTTCGAATGTTGATGCAAAGAAATGTAAAACTAGTGGTAAGGTGCCCTTGAATTCGAGATCTTAAGCTACTATGAAAGAAAAGGACCAGCAATGTAAGAAAGCAAACAAAACAAGTAAAAAGATTTTTTAGGTAGTGTTATCTAGATGATCATGCATACTAACTCATCAAGAAGATGCTTCTATGAATAATCTATTATGATGTCATATCTCTTCCTCTAAGTCCACTCTCTACCCATGCATGCGCCTCTTGCAATAGATATTTGACTAAATAATGCGTGCTTTCACTTCATGCAATCACATAATCAATGAAGAACAAGGAAGTTAGGATAGCCCATGATTAAGTGTGCGCCTCTATGAGCCATAATCGATGGTCTCTAAGTGCGTTCATTGTTGTTAGCTCCATGGGATATGGATTGAATCCACATTAGCGTATGTACTCTTGAAAGTCCCCTAATGCTACGTACTCCACTTCCTTAATCTTCTCTAGCAACATCTTTCACCTTGTACATGCTATCTTGAGTGCCATTTGTGCTAGCTTCAAATTCGGAGTTTTTGGAGGTTCTTTCAACTTGTCTTTTCATTACAGGTCTTCTTCGTGATGATGATATGTTGCATGTAAGGAATCCTCATATAGGTTGACACAGAGTGCTCTCTGCCATCTTGATCTCAATTTTTATATCCTCCATGTCAGTTAGTCTCATATTCTCATAGAGTGGAAGTGATAGGATGTTATGTTGATACTAGAATCCACCATTTCTTGCTCTAGATAATGATTATCTAGGAGACAAATGATTGTTCAATGACCATGATCCTCATTCTATTCGTATACTCGAATGATTTCGTTATGTCCATTAGGAGTTTGAGTTGATGATGTTCTTCCTAATCCTCTAATTATCCAGAACTTGTTGAACTTCTCCCTTGGGCTCTCCATAGTAGTAATGATCTCCAAAAGTGGCATGACACTCTTTTGTCCTCCCAAAGCATCTATAAATTTCAGCACCATTATAGGGTATCGAGATGCTTCTTCATGGATGACCATCTCCTTCGCCGAGGTTGTGCCATCGTCTTTTCCTCCTTTTTGATGAGTTGTCTCCATTGCATGGGTTTGGGCAGGCATCAATAGCGCCCCCCAAGTCTACTTTGTGACACAATAGGGGATCTCGGCGGTCGTTTGCCATGCTTACGGGGTCAAATTACTCTTACCAATGCCATCACTACCTCTTTCAGCCTTGCTTTGAGGTGGCTTCAAACAACTATTTTGCTGGTTACATCTCATTATTTTGGTATAAGTGACCATTTGATTGGTCTTCATAACGACTACTTACTAATAAAGATGACTTCATAAAACTATTGATCAATTGACTAATTGTCATAATGGTTCCCTAGTAACAAAAAAATTCCATAGGCGTGACAAAATTTAATCATGGATTCATATTAATTGAAATTTTTACGATGAGCATTATTCTCGGGTCCTCGCGTATTAGGATGGCGGTTATTACCCATTCCACTCAAATAGTAACCTTTTCTCTTTCTAATAATTAGAATAATTCTAGGTTTATAATAATTCAATTAATTTGAATAGATATTCAAACTTAGCTCTAATTTCGTTCCCAGCGTTATTGGGATAAAGGTTGAAGGAAATTACGAGTCTCTTAATTCCTCCAAACTTACAATTTTTTTTCATTTTCCAGCGTCTAAGGGTAATCCTCCCAATGTCCTTGGATTCATATCTTACGGACTGAATTGTCATTATTGATGTCTTGTGTGTCGGAATCACCGATAAAAATCATCATCCCTCCTTCCTTCTCCTTCTATCATCCGTCATTTCTCCTCTCTTGTTTGGTGCCTCCTCTACAGGGATTTATGAAATGCTGGTCGTTAGTAACCTAGTCGTTAGGTGGGTCGTTATTCGTTAAAATTGACATCTTTTAATTTTAGTGTCTCTTCGTTGAGTAGAAGCATAGTTAGGACTTTTAAATGTAAGAGGAGTGAGATTTGCTTTTTTTTTTTTTTATGTTGTGTCTATAATATTTATGGGGAAAAAAGTCATTTTATCATTTGTGTTTTAACAATGATAGAAGATTAATACTCTATCTAACCACTAATTACTTTGCATTGATTCTCACGCCCTTGAAAATATTGGCTTTCTTTTTTCCCCATTCAGTGTGTTTTTTTAAAACACCCATACAACTATGTCCAATAACACATTCATAAATGAATCGCCATTCACTCCTCCATTTATCGGTTCAATGAATATTTAGTATTGAACTCCAGAGGATGAGATCGTCGTCCTCAGACATTAAATTCTTCTTTTCTTTGATAAATCACAACACATTAAATTCAAACCATTAGGCATAAGCTTTATATATGAGAGAAAACTATGCATATAAGTATAGGATGATAACATTAACTTTAAGTGTGTCTTATTTTGGATGCTAATAAGCTTAGCTGATTGTGAGATAATTACTATTTTTTATAAGGGTGATATAAATTTATTTCTTGTGGTTAGGTATTATTTAAGAGATTTGAACTTATGATTTCTAAGTTCAATACTAGCCATACAACCACTAAACCAAACCATTGTTCGCTCATCAAATAATTACTATTGGCCGAGAAGTTTGGTTACATATATATATATATATATTAAGGATTAATTATGGTTTGATTTCTGTACTCTATTATAGTTTATTAGTTCATGTATTACTATTTGAGAGTTATTCTCTCTCGTTTAATAATAAAACATAGGACGTTATTGTACCCTCTTAGATTAAGAAAATGATGATAATATTTTCTAGCTATGAACATGGTGTCAGCTACTATTACAACGAAGTATCGGATGTTAACGAAGGTTGTATTCTGAGAGTTTATGTATCCTACATAATACAATATTTTTTTTTATTTGATTTGAGCACAAATGCATGTATTGAGAATACATGATGTTTTTCTAATACATAAAAAATTAATGCATACTTAATGTCATCATTGTTATGAGATTTAGTATCCATAATTCATTTATTATTAAAAATCCACGTATTCTTTTATGTTTCCAAATAATAAGTTTTTAAAACTCAAAATTTTTTAGCACACATATTCTTAATACGCACATTCTTGTATTCCACTATTTCCCCAATCAAAGGTTCTAAAATTCAGAAATTTAACAGCAATTTTGGTTTGTCTTTATTAGTTTCACATTTGGTAGTTGTACTAGGCTAGGCTGTCAAGAAAAGGATATCCCAATATCCCATCACATATCTCTTCGTTACAAACAAGAAAAAAAAAGTTAATTACAAAAATAACCCCCGTCGCCAGTCATATCGGCCCGAGCCCATGAGGAATATTCCCGTAATATGATGGCACCGGCGGCAGTGAGTTGGACGGACGGAGAGCGGACCCCGTTAAGTTTTTGACACATTTTCTTCGTTCGCGTAGCCACCGAAAAAAAAAGAGAGGTCCAACCAACCAAGCTCCAAAGTCGTCTCTATCCTCCCTGCCTGCAAATCTTAATTCGAGCCCTCACCGTCCCTTCGAGGACAAATATATCACAAAAGGGAACACACAAGAAAAGTAAAAGAAAAACGGCCAGACGGCAGATAAAACGCGTCGGAGAAGGGAGAGCAAGGACGGATTGTGGGCTGAATCCGACTCAGAGTTCCTTCACTGCGGATTTTTCAATCCGTGAGTGCTGCAACCACACCTTTGCCTTTGATTTCTTCCTTGTTGTATTGGTCACACGGATACAAGTTCGATTTCATTTGTGCCGGCTTTCTTGAATACTTTCTTCTTCTTCTCCTTCGTCTTCGTTGTTTTTCTATTGATCTCAGCCAATGCTGCTTCGTTTCCTATCTGGGTTTCTTGTTTTCTTTCTCTACCTAAGTCTTCTCCTCATTGAATTTGATGATCGTCGGTTGCTTCTCGGAAGTTGATTTTCTCGACAAAAACAGTGGTGGGAACTGCCCTAACTTGTTGCGACGGGGATTCCCAGTTTCTTCCCTCTTCCTGTTGTTTCCTTTGATGTTAGGGGGGTCTCTCAGTTTGCTGTGTGGATGACGTCTCAACTTTGATTCTTTTGTGATTTTTAGCTTAAAGCTTATTTAGTGCTGGGTTTGTGATTTGATGCAGGGAGGAAGTAGAACAAAGAGGATCATCAGCCACAAAATAACTGCTGGGCTTTGTCTTACTGCAGTAGAGTAGAGAATTTTATGTCCAATTTCAGTTGGGGAAAAAGGGATCATCTTTCTGGGCGTTAACTACTAGACCGATGAATGTGGTTGGCAGAGTTGGGAGCCTTATCTCACAAGGCGTATACTCTGTCGCCACCCCTTTTCACCCTTTTGGTGGCGCTGTTGATGTGATTGTGGTTCAACAGCAAGATGGGACATTTCGGAGCACCCCTTGGTACGTTAGATTCGGCAAATTTCAGGGTGTTCTTAAAGGGGCGGAAAAGATAGTGCGCATTGAAGTTAACGGAACTGAAGCTGATTTCCACATGTTCCTTGATAATTCTGGCGAGGCTTACTTCATACATGATATTGACTCTGGCAAAGGAGGAGAGGAAAGTGGCATTGTAAAAGATTCCGATGGTGGGGAACTCTCACAGGAGGCTGGAGGTTTTGACCCGAATCAGAACAACCTTGGAGGAATGCCAAGACTTGAACATAGCATTTCTGATTCTGTTGTGGTGCAGTTGAGAGGGGAACACGATTTAGTAGGTAGCCGACTTGATAGGACAGAATCTGATGTTGACCGGAGGTACTATGATCTCCAAGACGAACCACCTTCTCCAGTTTCCTTAACAGAATTTGGGTCTGGTAGATTTGAGGGCCTAGGCAGTGGGTCAGCTGCAGATTCGCAGGGTTCAGATTCAGAAGTGATTTTGGTGAGTGTAGATGGACATGTATTAACTGCCCCTGTTTCAGCCTCAGAAGAGGACACTGAGAATGTGCAGCTGAGTACACCTCAATTTCACTTAGGCCCAGGTGATGGAACCGAAGAATTCAATACGGGAGATGATACTTGGGCTGCTGAATATATCAGCAAGCTGAATGCATCTCCTTCCGATGCTGCATCTGATAAAGCTTGTAGTGTTAGCAATGAGGATTTTTCTTTACAACACCCCCTGGAAGTCTGTGAAGGTCAAGGGGAACATAATTGTCAAAGTCAAGGGACTCAAGATAGCCCTAGGCTAGAAGAAGAAATTCCAATACGAAGTGATTCAGAAGATTCGTCTGCTAGAAGTAGGAAGGGAGATGTTTTTGGAAGTTGCTTAGCTCTATCAGAAATTGGTGAGCATGTTGGAAATGGTAGTTTTGAAGCTGTAAACACTTCACTGCAAATTAAGACAGTTATCGAAGAGTCTTCTTTCAGTCTTTCAGCAGTTAATCAAACTCAAAATAAGGTCCTTGATGAATCAGCTGATGATAGGATCAGCCCACAGATTTCAGATTCTGCCAGATTTGATGCGTCACCTTCGTCACAAGTTGAAGTTGAAGTCACTGAGACCAATGTTTTAGGGCCTGAAGGTCTAGGTAATGACACCTTGTCTATTCATTCAGTAAATCCAGAACCAAAGGATGGCTACCTTGGTGCTTCTGCAGTGAAGGAAGAGCCAGATGTTAAAGAACAATCTATGCATGAAGATCAGAGTTCCACTAGTGAGACAATGCAACCTCAAAAAGAAACATCCAATGCTGCATTTCCACATTCTAGCACAAGTACGGGCCATCTCTTTTCTTCAGTTGTAACCTTAGTTGTCTTTTGAAGAATGAAGTTTATTCTTACTTCTTATTTCTTTCAGGGGTCGAACTCTCTCTCTGCGGGAAGGAACTTCACGCTGGTATAGGCTTTGAGGCTGCTGCTAAAGTTTTTGAAGCACACCGCGTATCAGTGGAGGACTTTAAGAGTTCTACAACCTCTATTATCAAGAATGAACAGTTGATTGTTAGGTTCGCAGAGAAGTATTTGCCATGGGAAAAGGCTGCCCCGGTTGTCCTGGGAATGGCTGCATTTGGTATAGATGTTCCTGTGGAGCCCAGAGATGCAATTCCTGTCGACCAAAGTGATCCAGAGACTAGAGACGATGAAACTGGGTTGGTTTCGACGCCCACAAGTCGCAGGTGGAGGCTCTGGCCTAATCCGTTTAGAAGGGTCAAAACTCTTGAGCATACTGCCAGTAACTCATCAAGTGAAGAGTTATTCGTTGATACTGAATCTGGAACTTTAAACTCAAATGCAGAGCCACCTTCGGCTTCTTCTATTGGCATAGAGTCCCCTCACAAGCAGTATGTGAGGACTAATGTTCCAACTAGTGAGCAGATCGCCTCATTGAATTTGAAAGATGGCCAAAATATGATAAAATTCAGTTTCTCCACAAGAGTTCTGGGCACTCAACAGGTTTGCGGTTCTGCTCTTTTATCCCATTTTACAAACAACAGATCATCAAGCATTCTGTACTGCACTAGGGAGTTCAAGCCATTTTACGATATTTTGGTTAGAAGATAAAGCCCATATCAATATATTGCCTGTTACTCTCCCATAAGATGTAAAGTTCACAAAGGATATCTGCTGTCATCAGTACTTAACAACCACCATAGTTGAGTATAAACAGCTAGCTGTGGAAGTATTTAATGTTCAACTGTTGATCCCGGACCCATTCCAACAGGTAGATGCTCATATATACTTGTGGAAGTGGAATGCTAGAATCGTGATTTCTGATGTTGATGGAACAATAACCAAGTAAGGGAGTTCGATTCCTTTTCTGTAGTCCTCTTTTCTCTGCTTTTCGTCCTCTTTGATTATTACTGATAAATGATGTTTATATGGCATGACTCCCAATGACACATAACTGTTGCATGATTCTATTGGTGTTTACCTTGTGCGCTAAGCTACAGTAACCAATCATTCAAGTAATAATTAGTAAGAACTAAGATGGTAGTGCTTTCACTTTTCTTTCTGACACTGTCGTCTGATCCTATATGAAGGATTCTTCCATTAGCAGATGTATCTGATCAAGTACCTTGTGGGCCGTGGGAGTACCGTTCCTTTTCATTCTTACCTAATTGGATCTATTGTCTCTTTGATATATAGAGTCGCTTTCCAGTTCGTACTATGGTTGTTCATATAAAATCTTTTATTAAATTGCCTCGTCTGTCTTGCAACATAATCTCAAAATTGCATCCGTGTTCTGAGTTTGTCTCCATTGTGGAGCTGGTCTTATAACCTTCACCGAACATGGTTTTATCCCTAGTTGTCTAGTGAACTCCTGTGCCTTCTTATTTAATGAGCATGTTAACAACATGCACTAAAAAGTTCAGTCATGCACTAAAGTACTTGTACCGTAAGATAATGGTGGCTGAGGCAAAGTGGAAAGTGTTTTTGGTTAAATAACATCTTCACATGTATCTTTCAGTTTTATAGACTGTTTCAATATAGTGCGACTTCATTACCCCTGCTTTCAGATAATTATAAGTAAAGACCTTGTTTTTTCTTCCAGGTCTGATGTTTTAGGCCAGTTCATGCCTTTGGTTGGCAAGGATTGGTCACAATCTGGAGTAGCTAAGCTTTTTTCAGCAATAAAGGTGATGCTTGCTTTCCCAATTTCATTACAGTGCACTCACAGTTCCATCTGCATCAAAATTGTTCCACAGATGCTTGTTTTGGTGATCGTTTATCTATCAGGAAAAATGAAAGAAACCATCTTCATTTTTTTCTTTCATTTTTCCCCATATGAACTTGATCATGCAGCACATCATTTGTCCACAATACTGTTTCATATTAACATGAAATGCCAGATGGGCCTTCTAAAGATACTTGGATTATTGGGGTTTTTTTGGGGTATTTTGTTGCTCCTGCAAATAACAGAGCTTCCTCCTTCAAATCCTTTAAGGACATCTGATGGAAATAACTATATGACCTGCTATCTTATGACTCCTTTACGACAGACTGTTATCACACATCTCAAAGTTAGGTTCCCCAGGAATAGTCGAAGCATAGCCTTTTGTTTGACATGCTTCCCAATGGAAGTGATCTCCTTAAGTAATGGGTGCTGAAAAGTTAATTCTGTGATTTGCACAGGAGAATGGATATCAGCTACTGTTTCTGAGTGCACGAGCAATTGTCCAGGCATATCTGACCAGAAGTTTTCTTTTTAACTTGAAGCAGGTATGTGTTTTTTGCTGTCATCATTTTCAACATGGAATATCTTCTAGTATGATTGGATCACTAATGATAGAACAATCTGCTGTTTGTTATCTCCATAACTTTACTGTGACGGGGAGAGGCACAAGTGTTGAACTGTCTCTTACTACTACGAATTCAGTCGATGTTTTTTGGGTTTTACAGGATGGGAAAACTCTACCCACTGGACCAGTTGTTATTTCGCCAGATGGATTATTTCCGTCACTCTATCGTGAAGGTGAAGTCTTATTTCTTGGTGTGGAGCTGCTTATCTTATTCTAATTTCCTTTCTGATAATACTGAACATGTATCTTTTTCTTATCCCACTGATGAAATGTATGATGCTAAAGTGTGACTTTTCTGTAAGCACTTATTACATAGTTGGGCTCTCTGGTTTCGGTCACTGACAGCTAGATAAATAATACTGGCATGCACACACTTACGAATTATTCTATTCATTGTGCAAAATATAAATCTTAAGAGTCATAACGCGGGCTAACTGCGACTGTATGACTGTATCTTCTTTGTTTCTGGTTGACAGTCATAAGGCGGGCTCCACATGAGTTTAAGATTGCTTGCTTAGAGGTAAGAGCACCACTTTCTTTGAAACCTGGAACCATTTTTGCCTGTATGTTTCCATGCCTTTGATTCTGGGCCCAACTTTGATACCCCTTGCACTTGCAGGACATCAGGAAACTGTTTCCAACTGATTACAACCCATTCTATGCGGGCTTTGGGAATAGAGACACCGATGAACTTAGTTACCGCAAAATTGGTATTCCAAAGGGGAAGATTTTTATCATAAACCCGAAGGTTTCTATCTCCATTAGACTTCAACCTACTAATCCCCATTTTTCTAGCGAGCTGGATATCTCAAGTGTACTGCTGTTTTGAAATGTCAGGGAGAGGTGGCTATTAGTCATCGGATCGATGTGAGGTCGTATACATCATTACACACTCTTGTCAATGACATGTTCCCTCCAACATCACTGGTCGAGCAGGTAGAGGTACAGTACCCTGCTTAAGCTCAAGGATGTTCTGGCTTTGTTTTTCACCGCTGCTGAGCTGCTCGGGTTTTGCAGGAAGATTACAACGCATGGAATTTCTGGAAAATGCCATTGCCAGACATCGAAGAGTTTGTCGCGTAGTTGATAGTTGGATATGGAGATGCTGTTTAGGAGTTGCTTGGGTCTTTATTCTACTTGCTTCAGGGAATGAGGTTCTTTGGATGAAGGAAAGAGATGAGATTGTGAGAATGGAGTGATTTCGAAATGAACTAGTATTTGGGAGCATAGAACCGAAGATGTCTCCCCGGCATTAAACCAGTTGTTGCCCGGTAAAAATGATTGGCTGCACCCTCTTACCTTTGGGCGCATGTCGTCAGCTCAGCTGGTCATCCTGCGTTAAGTCAGAAACATTATAGCACAAGTGACAGTGTTGCAGAGAAGTGAATTTACATCATAGAAAAGTACGAGTGACTGAGTGATAATAGCACCTCTGCTCTAAGTGGTAGTACAATCTGTGTTTCCTTCTGAGTAGATATGTAATCCCGTCACAGATGCTACTATGGGAAATGATCAACACTGATTGATTGTTAGAGAAATGGACAATTCTGTTGCAGCAACCCATTGTTAGTCGTTCTTCTCACGATAGGCCCATCAGTAGTATCAAAGGAAACCAAATGTTAGCGATCTAAATGCTATCAGGGTCGTTCGTTTGGATGAGGCATTTGAATGAGTTATTTAGGTTCAAATAACTCGTTTGACAGCATTTTACTCAAATGAGTTATTTGGTTGTGAGTTATTTACAAATAATTTAAAATGAGTTATTTGAAATAACTCTAGCCCCCTCTGTTATTTTTAAAATAACTGATTTTACTACTATGTTTTTTCCAAATACCACTTTTGCAGGGTTCTAACAAACGAGATACTTCAAACCAATTACCGTTGAAATAACACTAAAGTGTCACATAAACAATTAATGAGTTATTTGACTCTACAAATATCACATTGACAATTAATCCATCCAAACGACTCCTCATATTGAACAGGGCTATTTAAAGGATAGCTTTATGCCCAGGCGTGCCTAGACACTGGGTAGTGATAAAATGTCTCGTCTAGGTGCTAGACATACAATTAGGCGTTTATAAGGCGTAAGTGATGATTATTAGAAAAAAATAGGCAATGATTAATTGGTGAGAGGCATGATTAATTGAAGTAAGTCCTCTTAATTGCACAAGTACATCAAGGATTAAAAGAAGGGGATTGCTATTCGTCGCTAGCTTATCTTCCCAAAATGATGTCATCTCTAGCTTTCCTATTTTCAACGCATGTGTCACTAATTCTTCGATTTGGAATTGCAATTCTAGGTGACTTACCTCAAATATTCTTGAGGGTTAGCTAAGTTATTAACATTTAAAATTGAACTAACATAAAAACATACTATAAAATTGTTATTTCAACTAAAACCCGTTACTTTTGCTAAAACATAATATTGGCAAAGAAAGTCATAACATCAAGCCAAGCTATGGGCTTGAAGTTTGCACAGGACCACCATACCTTGTGCTTTAATCAACTGTTAATATTGGGGGTCGCAGACATTCGAACATATGACCACTTAGCTAAACCAGCTCTGATACCATGTCATTAACCAGTTGATCCCAATAACTCGAGTTGTTGGGAGAAGGTAATGCTGGATCTTATACCACTCTCTAACACTCCCCCTCAAACGAAAGCCAACCCATGAATTTGAAGTTTGCATAGGCGATCACCATACCTTGTGCTTTAATCAACTGTTAAATATTGGTGGTCGTGAAGATTCAAACACACGACCACTTAGTCAAACCAGCTCCGGTACCATGTCATGAATCAGTGTCTGTCCAAACTCTAAACTCGAATTATTGGGACAAACTGACAATTAATCTCTAAAATTTGAGATTCATATTGAAAACCTAAAAAGACAAAAAGCTTTAACCAGCCAGAAAAGGGAATATGCAAATTCAACGTGCGTACGTAGCGTGGCGAGGGCATTACAGTAAACCTAAAATGATTTAAAAAGAAAACCAGAAGAGAGAAGAAAGAAGCAGCTACGCACGCACGCACGCACGATCTTCGAATTGGGAGAAGCCCGCAAAATCTGTCCGACCTCTTCTTTCCCCCCGGTTGTTAAAACTCTTCCTCCCTCCGTCCATCCGCCCGCTTTCACAATGCCGCTCGATGATCGCCGCTATGACGCAATTCATCCCTTGCGTTTTCTGATCTCTTAGAAAGATTATTCCAAAATTCATTTGCTTGCTGATCGGAGCTCCGAAATCGCCGCCGTTAAACAGGTAGGAAGGGGGGGCCTTGCGATGTCGTGGTTCAGGTCGGCAGTGAATCGAGCTGTCGTTGCCGGAGGTCACTCCAGTTTGTCGCGCACCGTACGCACCGTCGCCGACACCGTCGTCGTTCAGGCCGGCAATGCCGTCACCGGTGGCGCTAAGATCATTACGGACCGAATTGTAATGCTGCAGCATTTCAATTCGAACTGCAGTTTTTTTTGCTTTTATTTTCCAATTTTTGACGGGATCTGTCTCTGACTAGGAGAAATTCCTCCTTTTCTCGCTTCAAAAGCAGGGTTCTCGGAATCTGCAGAACTTCCGGCAGACAGCGAAAAGGCTGGAGGAAGTCGCAGTTTCGTACAGAGGGATCGAAAGGGTTCAGCTGATGCGGCGGTGGTTGGTGGCGCTTAAGGAAATCGAGAGGCTATCTGCTTCGTTTACCGCGGATGATAACAAATCAGCAGACGAAAATCTTTTCCCCGACGATTCCAAGGAATCCCCCAAAAAGCCCACAATGGTGACATTCTGCTTACCCTAGCCTTATCATCATCGTGATCTCTTTCTCAGCCATTTCGGTTTGCTGTGTTTCTAATTCCCAATTGTGCTCCTCAATTCGCACAGATATATTACTTTGATCCTGATTTTGGGACGATGAATTTTCGCGATGTGTTTCTCTACAGTCAGGCCCTCGAAGGCATTGCTTTGTCCATGGTAAGTTAGAGAAACCCCGGTTTCCCCCCCTAATTCTGGACTGAATTTTCTGTTCAACGCTAGCTTCTTGCATGTTAGTTGCCTATAATCTCTCTCTCGTTTGAGCTGTGAATTTGCTGATACATGGAGGTATAACCTAGGTTTAACTATTTTGTGTAACGCAGATTCTTGAAGCACCAAGCGTGGAGGAAGTCTCTATGCTCCTAGAGATGTTTGGGTGAGCGTTGATTTTTCGTTTCAGGTCTCAGTTCCCCTTTTAGGATTCTGGTTTTCAGCTCTCATACACGCTCTGTAAGATTTCATGTTTTGGTTTGGTTCTATACAGGCTTTGTCTTGCAGGAGGGAAGGATGTTCACCAAACGCTCATCGACAGCATACAGACTTTGGCAAAAGCATTCTCCACCTACCGCGATGAAGTGCTGGTAAGCAAAATTGGATGCTTGAACTGAATTTGATCATGTCTGCAAAGGTTCACATTATAGCTGCATCAAAACTCAAGCGAAGGATTCTACTCCTTATTGCTGTAAAGGCACGACTTCTGTCAACATAGTTTGCCCTTTTGTGTTTCATGTCGTCAGGTGAAGCGAGAAGAACTGCTCCAATTGGCTAAAGGTGCGATCTCAGGGTTGAAGATGAACGCCGACCTTGCAAGGTAGGTCAAGGATCATAATACTGGCCCTTTCTTCTCTCCCCCACCTCCCCACTCACCGTCCAGTTTGGTCAGAGCACAAAAGAGAAGGAAAAGTGCCAATATTCACTTCTGTACATGGCATGAGATAGATGGGTAGTTGTTGTCTGTGTATATGATGCATGTTTTAATGTTCTTGTCCCTGCTCTCAGAATAGATGCTGAAGTCGGCAGATTACTGGAGAAACTTGAAAAGCAGGAAGAGCTCAATAATCCTTCTTCCCGTGACTCTACTGAAAAGTCGATAAAAGAAACAACACAGGTACTTCATTCTCAACCTTGTGGTCTCTTTGATATGGATTCTCTAATTTCTGACGACTCCACGGAGTTTACAAGTCTGACGGGAAAGATGGGCCTTGAAGTGGGCTGAAAATCTTACAAATTGGCCTTAAGTAGAGTCTAGAGATGGGCTTTTGAGGAAAACGGGCTTTCAAAGGCAAACAGATTGGACTTTTGGCATGGCGAATCTTCATGTTTCCTCTAAAAAACCCGTTTAACTTGAGTTGATATACCAAACTGACTTATTACAAACACAGCTCTTCGTAATCTCTAGCTCACACATGACACAACTATAGTCTTGAACTTGGATGTACTTTTAGGCAGCAGAAAGGAAGGCATTAGATGGTAAAATAGTTGGCACGACCTGGTTGATTCATTGGAATTGCAAAACATGATAATTGGTCTTGTGCAGGATCTAAAAGATACGCTCAAAAGAATCCAGCTCTGTTCTACCTTAGAGGCTCTCCTAATAAAGAAGAGATCTTTGACCAACGGGGACTCCGCGCAGGCCCATGCAGAGAAGGTAGGGACCCTCCTTGGCTTAGTTCACACGATTATTTAGACTACTGTGTTTGTGCGAGCTGGCCTAATGTACTTTAGTTCATTAATGTGGGTTGTTGTTGATTCACTTTTGTAGGTGGACAAATTGAAAATCCTGGCAGAATCTCTTATTAGTTCCACCAAAAAGGCTGAAAGCCGCATCGTAGATCATAGGTCTGTTGGCATCTCAGGAAGTTCCTTTTATGTTGAATTTCTTGCATGCCCATTTGCAGAAATCATATTGTTCATACATCTCTTGACAATACAGCGGTTCGTAAGATCTTCACATCGAGTTTTATTAACCTTTTAACCTCCGCGGTGACTTTGTGTGATCAGGTGTCAGAAAGAAGAGGCACTCAACTTTCGAGTAGCTAAAACCAACGAGGTTAGCCAGATTGAGAAGGTGAGGCTGCCTCAAAAACACTTATAATCACTTCTTATTCCGTAGGACAGGGGTTATGAGTTAGTTTAGTACACTGACTAGTTTCATGGGCATTTACAGGAACTAGCAGTAGAAATCAAAGCACTGGAGAAGCAAAAGCATGAACTTGAATCACAGTTAAAAAGGGTATAAAAAGAAATGTTTCCTCCTCATTTAACCTGTGCGTTACCCTTTCTTCACGTCTTTGTCTGGCCTGAAATCTTTTGATTTTGCGTTTCAGGTCAATACCGACTTGACTTCAGCTCGGCAGAGGATTCATAATGCCAAGGAAGAACGAGAAAACTTCGATGAAGCAAGTAATCAGATTCTAATGCACTTGAAAAGCCGGGTATATTGTTGTTTCCATCCCTAACCTCGATACTGTTTGCCAGGGAGTATTATTCTGTCCTCATTGTCTTGTCATGTTTTTTTCACTTACTTGCTTGACCTTAGGAAGAGGAGCTCTCAAAATCAATAAACTCTTGTAGAGTAGAAGCTGAAGTGGTAAACTCTTGGATTCATTTCCTCCAAGACACATGGGTTCTCCAAAGTGCACACACGGAGCAAAAGGAGAAGCAAGTTAAGTATGTATTCCATGCTCTCTGACTGGATAAATTGAAGAACCAAAATAAGCTGTCTGTACGTTTGTTAACTTTTTCTGTAAACATGCATGTTGAAGTGGCGATTTGGAGAGATACGGAGATTATCTGGAGAATCTAGTCATGCATCTTCTCACCGCTTACAAGGTAGGTATCAGATGTTGTGTAGAAGTCTATCTTGCACCATTGCTGTGTGATTAGCTTTTGAAGTACCAAGCTGTCTTCTGTCTGTCTTTTCACAGGAACAATTGGGACCAGCTGTGACCCGTTTTAGAGGACTTGTGGAGGAGCTGCATTTGTGTCACGGGTATTTTTATTGCCTATTTTCTTCTCTGATATCTTATTAAGTGTTGAAAGATAACGAGGCATGATCGAAAGTGTTTTTCTTAATCAGGCCAGAAGCTGCAACTCCTCCAGACATTGATAACCCAAAACGAGTGAACAAAAGGAAGGGCCTGGAAGACGAATATCTGGAATCTGAAGCCAAGGTAGGCTGCACTGTACTCTGTCTTTCCCAAGAACACAATCCACTTACTAACTTTACTACTTGCAATGCATAATTTGTTCGGTGGGCGGATCGAATTTATTCACCTTGTTCTTTGTTAATGCCACAGATTATAACCATTTTGAGTATCGTGGATACTGTGAAAAAGCAATTCAACTCCAAACATGAAGGCATTTATAGGTAAAGCCTCGAACATTCACTCTCTCTGCACCAAAGAGAACTCCCCATTATCAGCCATCCTGGTGTTTACTTGAATCAGTAAGAATATCTGTCACCAAAATCTCTCTCAGGAAAGACACGGATGGGACTGACGAGTTATTCAATTCGATTGGGAAAATCAAGGAGGAATTCGAGTCGATTGTAAGACCGACCCTGGAGCGCAGGATGTCTTCACCAGGTGCAAGATCACTGTCTCCGTACGACCGCAGGTCTCATGACGCCACCGCACCTCAGACGCCCCGGCAGTCAGTAAGCGGGGATACACCGGAAAAGAAAGAAAAGAAGAGGAGGAACAGCAACGGCTTGCCGTTCGTCAACGTGAATGGGCGTAGAGCCCGCGACCCACGCTTGCAAATAGAGCTGGATCATGAATCGGACGGCAGGGGGAACTCGCCGGAAGACCTCGGTTTGTGGGAATGCGACGCCGGAAGGGAGATAAGACTCACCGGCTGATCCACCACCACCACCACCAGGTTTTTTAACAGGTCAGTATTTTTGGCAGTCAAGAAGCTATCTTGATGGATGATACACAAGAGTAATTAACCCACAATAGACTTTTCTGAGTACAATTTTTCCGGCCGCCGTCGATGGAGTCTCGCTAACCCACAACAGAAACACAGTAAAATCCAGTTACCAGCTTAAGCTTATCGTGGGGCATTCTTCATGTCCCATTTATACTTGTAAACCGTTATATTAAAACGTGTACATTATTCGGAAGGAAAAGGTGTAGAATGTAACGTAGATCAGTAGTTTTTCGGTTTTGTTTTTGTTTTCTGTCTCTTTCAGTTGTCAGGATTCCTTGCGTGTATCACTTAAATATGGTATTTGTTGTCAAGCTGTTGAAAAAACAATGTTCAAAAACTCTCATACACGGTGTGAATCTTATTGGATTTATGATATTGGAGAAGAAAAAAAACTGATGTTGAGGATAATGATGGTAAATAGCATAACTTTCCCTAAAAATAGTGATATTTGTTAGACAGTGATATAAGATCCAACATAATCTTCTCCCAACAACTCGAGTTATTGATATCAACTGGTTTATGTCATGGTATCAGAGCTGGTTTGGCCAAGTGGTTGTGTGTTCAAATTTTCACGATCCCCAACATTAACAGTTGATCAAAGCGTAATGTATGGTGGGCCTCTGCAAACTTAAAGTCCATGGGTTGATTTTCGTTTGAGTGGGCATGTTAGAGAGTGATATAAGATCCGACATAACCTTCTCCCAATAACTCAAGTTATTGGAACCAAAATTAGTATTGTTGCTGGATTGCTCCATAAGATAGGAACTTCATCATTGGTACGCGAATTATGTCTTACCTCAGCTGCGAAGACAACCAGGAGCCATTGTTTCGTTCTTTAGCTTGTTAGCTCATTTCCCTGTTGTGTTACCCTGCATTTGGTTTTCAGACTTAAGGACAAGTCTATACTCAAGGGGTCAGGATTGTAATGAATGGGAAATTAGTTGTACTAGGATTTAGTTGGGGGACTAGTTTGTAATTAGGTGGTCATATAAAAAGAGGGAAAAGCTATAAAGAGGATTATCAAATGGAAAAACTGTGATTCCCTCCTCTTCCCAGTCTGTAATGAATAGGGAGGATTATCAAATGGCTAAAAAGAACAATAGATCAATCACTTGGAATTTTTTTTAATTTTTTTTTTAACAATAGATCATTCTTCATAAGAGAAAATACAAAGTAGCAAGGGAGTTCATACATCCCTCGAACGAAGCCAAAAACAGAAGTCGAATCTCGAAAACAATTGAGGCGACAAAACTCATAACTTTACGGCCCACACAATAAACCGCTCTGTTTCCAACTCTTCCCCAAGAACCCAACCTGAGATAAAAAATGAGTTCATACATCAATCACCGGGATTGAAGGGCAAAAGGTCAAATGAGTCCACAAGGCCCCATTGAAAAGATCCCACGAACAGCAGCCCAAAGCTAGTTTCAGCAAACCTGCCTTATGCCGTCGTGTAGTCTACCTTGAATTTGAATGAAATTGGAATTGTCCGAATCCATGTATTGCAGTTGGAAGAATGGGGAGGAATTGTGTTATCCGCAGAGAAATCCGGGACAAAGGTGGTTGAACTAAGCTCAACGTGATTCAATGAATATAACCTCCTCCTGCTGCTACACTATCACATCAGTCGATCACCCCAAATTCACTGCAGCTGCAAAAACCCAACAAAGGCAGCCCACAACACAAGCCAACTTATTCATGTCAACAAAACCAGTTGCTCGTTTTCTTTTCATTCTCTGTAATAGGTTCGTTCATCAGAGGGTTTTGCCTTTGCGCCATGACCAAAACCCCGTGACAAAATTAGTTACATAGCTGCTACTTACGTACACATATACCCCCAAATATATACAACCCTCCTCTCTGTAACAAGGTTTACATTAATCAAATACTGATTCAACCCTCCAAACAATGGAGAAGCAATCAAATAGCGTACAGCTTCTTATAATCCGTCTCCAGATCCGATTCGGGCATCATCGACATCGAACCAGACCTCGACCTGCTCAACGACGACCTCCTAATGTTCCTCTGCTTCGAAGCCTCCAGCCTCGCCACCACCACCCAGTAACACATGGTGCCAATCGTCGCGGTCATGATAATCGTCCCTATCGCGGTCACCCAAATCGCCAACCACTTCGCCTTGCTCCCGACCACGACATATGACAACGCAATGAAGGCAACAGAGATCATCGCGCAGGCGAGCCACATGAGCTTGTTGATCACCGTCATCAGCTGCTTCTTCGCCTTCCTCTCTATCACCACAATCGACGTCTGGACCACCACGACGGCCAGGGAGATGAAGAGCGCGATGGAGTCGAACACGATGAAGATGATGAAGGGCGGTCTCGATGCGATCCGCGCCTGTCCAGCGGACTGGCCGGGGGCGAGCTTGTTCGGGTCGTCGGCGTACTGCCCCGGGACCTGGAAGATCGCTGCAAACGCCACGGTGGCGATTAACACCGCGACCACCGTGGTCGATGTGATGGCGTTGTTCAGGCCTTCGGTGTGCATCTTGTTCAGCCTCTTGGCGATCCCCTGGACTTTCTTTCGGGTGATTCGGGTCGTCTCCAGCTGGTTGTGCACCTCGTGCTTTATGTCGCTCACCGTTTGCTTCAGCTCTCGAGCTGGGTTCGTTTTCCCGCTGGGCTTCAGTGATTTGGCCGACAGCACGCCGTTCTTCTCCATCACTGCTGCGAGGTCTTTGTGCCCTGTTTTCTCCGCTGTGTCGAATGCAGTCTCCCCCGACTTGTTAATCGCGATCTTGTCCAGCCCTTGATGCTCGAGCAGCTTCACAACAATCTGCAATCATTTGTTCATATCAGCTTCATACATTGAATTTGAAAAAAAGGTCAATTGGGTATAAAAGAAAAACCCTAGAAAACTGTTGATTCTTGATTTGTCGTGCTAACAACAAAAAAAAAAAAATTGGGGGTTGAGGATTTTTTTCTTCTGTACCTGAGTTCGGCCCTTGCGAGCGGCGATGTGGAGGGCGGTGTTGACCTTGCCGTCGACCATGTTGATCAAGGAAGGATCGGACATGACCAATTCCTCCACCAGCTCGGCGTTCTGTCCTTTAACCGCCATGTGAAGCGCGGTTTGCCCCTTCTTGTCAGTTCTGGTGGCGATTGCAAGGTCTTTACCCAGAAGCGCCTTCACTATCTGCAGATGCCCATTTCTCGCCGCGGAGTGCAGGGCCGTCTTGCCGTTGCTCTTGGCGATCGCCGCCACGGTGCCGCACCGCTCCAGGAGGAAATCCACCACGTCCACGTGTCCCTGGGCGGCGGCCGAGTGGAGCGCCGTCGTGTTGGACGAATCGAATGTCATCGCCAGCTCTGGGTTCGCCTCCATCAGAACCCTCAATGTTTCTGCAAAACACGATCAAAATCAATTAAACCAGTGATTTTCTTTTCTCCCGTTTCAATTGAAGGGTTTAGAGTTGAGCCGTACCGAGATTGCCCTGCTTGGCGGCGATGTGGAAGGCGTCGTAGCCGTTCCTGGCCTTGATCCCGGCCAATCCGGTGTCGCAGTGCTTGATGAGTTCCTTCACGATGTCGACGTGGCCGCACTCGGCGGCGACGTACAGCGGCGTTTCACCGGACTGGTTCTGCTTCGAGAGCAGCTTCCTCAGCTCCTCAACGGAGGCTTCCCCGATTAATTCCAGGACCAGGTCCAAGTTGCCAGCCCTGGCCGCCCCGTGAAACGGCGAGTCGTCTCGCTTGGCGGTGAGTTGCTTGGTCATCGTCTTCTGCTGCTGCTGCCTCGCCGGCGCATCCATTATTGGGGAGGGGTGAAAACACAAAAAAAACAGAGAGATTCGATTCCCCCTGGCAGTTAAGAATGGTATGGAGGATGGAAATGGATCGGAACCCAAAGCCTCTCTGTTTCCGTTTATTTACATGATTGAGAAGGAGAGATTGTGGATAATCAGACAAAGAGAAGGCACGTGGGGGTAAAGCCTGGCAAGATTGTTCCCTCTCGATTCCACCCTTTAAACAAAAGCTTAATTATTCCAAGCTCCTGCGAAGAGATTTACGGCTCCCAATCAGTATAATGAAGAGAGAACGCAATTCTTGACCTCATTTAATTATTCAACAGACATGGATGGATAACAGAGAGAGAGAGAAAGAAGCAGACGAAAAACTGCAAAAAAGGAAGAAGACGACGACTCCGTGACCGTGAGTGAGTAAAAGGGGATCTGGAATTGCTGCCCCAAAGTTGGAAACTTTGGTAGCGGCAAACAATAATTGGAGGGACGGAGAGAAAGAAGAAGGAGATGAAGTCTCGGAAAGTTTTCAACTTTCCAGCAGCAGAAGTCAAAATTACGAAAAGGAAAAACAGAGGGAGGAGATTTTACAGCATCATCATCGTTTGGCTGTTGATTCAATTCAAAGATGATTACCTCAGGGGTTGAGAGGGAGATGCTTTCTGACTCCGGCTTCTACTCTGGTATCTCGCTCCTTGCCCTGTCTCTCTAGAAAGAGAGGTCAAAATGGAGCTCAAAACTTGGACTGGGTTCAGAGGGAGAGAGGGTCGCAGGGGGAGAGATAAGAGAGAGAAGTGGTTATGGTAGAAGGAGGAAATGATTTTTGGTTTATATTTTATTTTATATTTTAATATTTTATTGTGTGTGAATAACAAAAGGAAGAATTGAGTCGGGGAATCGGCTCGGTAGTCGCTGCTCGCTATCGTGGGCCGGGGCCCAGGGGACGATGGAGCGAATGAGTGCAGGGTTAACAAAAAGAACCATAACTTGATTAAGAAGTTCAATTTATTCTTATTTATCCTTAACATTAAGGTTTAATACTGAATGATTGTTGTCTTTTGTACCACCCATATTTTTTTTGGGTAGTGGTGTGAATTTTGGATTAAAGAACTCATAGTTATCTGACACAACTCGTGTTATAACTTATAACTTATTTATCCTTAACATTAAGGAAATATTCGAAGAAAAGAGATATGCGGAGTGCGTATGTATAAGGGAATTGGGAATCGATAAATGGAAAATAAATTGACTAAAGGAGAAGAGTAGAAGACTGAAGAGGGAAGAGGGAAGAGGGAAAAAAACAGAGGAAGTTCGGTCATTACAAGTTTGGCATTTGGTAATTTTGACACGGATTTAATACAGGCTATGCTTCACGTCATCTTTTCATTTGCGTTCGTTTAAAATGAATAACCTCTTGAACTTATTTCAACAAATGTTTATGAGAAATACAAGACATGTATTGAATCAAATTGCACTCCATCAAAATTAATGCAACAACTTCTATGCATCTTGATATTTTTCGATTTGGATTTTTTTTGTTTTTGTTTGAAGTGTTAATTAGTTATATAATATTTTCTTTGTGGTGTAGAATAATTGCAGTTTTTCAATGTTGAGTTGATATTT